TAAAAAATGGAAAACATCTAGTCAGTATCATACAATTCCCATTTCTAAAACTGCAGTATGACAAAGCAAAAAAAAAAAAAAAAAAAAAAAAAAAAGAATCCTAATATCCTCAAAGGAAACTCACATTTCTGAAACCTCTAAGGCACTAGTTCTGTATGCTTTGACAAACAGCTTCAAACTGCACATAGAAGGAAAGCTTGCAGTGAATGGTAACGCGGCAGACAAGGACAGAGTGCATATGCAACTGCTGGTGGGCAGAATGTCACATGGTGACCCTAAACCAACCCAGTGCATCATTTAGGAAAACTTTATCCAAATCCCAATTGTCCACATTTACTGAGAAATTTAACAAAGACACATAAAAGATTCTATAATCCAATAGCTCACTTAAGCCGAGTTTTAGATTTAGTTCGCCAGGTGACGATTAAAAGTACAATGAGGTCATATTTTAAAGATCAAAAGGAATTTGGCAGTCACCATAATAAAAACTTTCACAAGCAAGAAAATCAGCAGTGGACACTAAAACAAACAGGGAAAACATGAGAAAGAGCACATTTACACAGTCTCAGATTATCTCCTAACTCCCCACAAGACACTTATTTATTCCAAAGGAAGAAACAGTAACGTCACAGTGGAGCAATCTGGAGACACTACCTGAAGTAGTTAATCAAAGTAACACCATTAGGAAAGGGACAAAGAGACTGCATGAGTCTCTGGATCGCTGACACTGAGAAACACACATTACTCCTGGGATTTTCCTGCCAAAAATGCATAACCTAAAATAAATCATGAGGAAACAGTAGACAATCAAAATTGTAAGGGACATGCTACAATGTAACTGGCCTCTTCATATTAAGGTTCTGAGAAACAAAGAAAGACTGAGGAAACATTCCAGATTAAAAAAACTAAAGAAACATGATGACAAAATGCAAAGTCATTGACCAGGAAAAAGAACTTTCTTTTGCTATAAATGGAATTAGTGGGACACCTGGCAAACTTAAATAAATTATGTCAAACTAGAAAACATGAAGGCAAATGTTGTAAAATGTATTTCCAGTATCTGAGGGAAAGGTAAATAGGAAATCTTTTTACAAATTTCTCAACTTTTTGAAAGTCTGAAATAATTGCAAAATATAAAGGGTGGTGTTGTGTTTTTTTTTTGTTTTAAGTAAAATGTGTTCAACTCAAAACTTCAGCATTACTAACTCTACTAAAAGGAGCATAGAACCTGCAGTAAAATAAATGCTTCTCTGTGAATTCCCCTTGTTTCAGATGGGGGTACTAATAAGCAGAAAAAGATAAAAAGATGGACAGTTGTGCATAGATCACACGGAGTCCACATTTTAACCCTAAAGACTAGGCTTTGCCTTACCTTTTCTTCCTTTAGCAAAGCAAACTCTGAGGAAACTGACTGACTTGGGGGATTCTGCTGGTCAGTCACTTGCTACTTGGAAGAAATCACACAATACGCAACTCTGGGATCTTCCAAAAGGAAGAATGGACAAGCAACGGCAATAGGACACCAGTTTGTTAAGTCCTGTGATCCTGAAGAGACCAGCGAAGAGAAAAAATCCATACCATTTCTAAGAACAATAGGGCAGCCATACTCTATGTCTCTGTTAGTTTTTCTTATGCGCCTGTCTTACGCTTTACTCGGAACTATCTCACAGACTCCAGAGCAGGCAGCATCTGACAGCAACTGGTAACACATTTCCAGAATTGTTAAAGGGATTCAAGAGACACTTGTTCAACATACGGCAGGACATGGAATACTTCATCATCACTAGTAATGCATTTAAGTATCAGTTCTCTAGAAGGTTCTGTTTCTGATCCAAATGAGGTAGATACTCAGACCAGACTTCCACCAGCTTCTGCATCCCTAGGGACTGGTTACTGCTGCCTTGTGTGCTTTTCAGTCCCTGAAAGCTCCCTTAAATCTTCAGCCACTCCTCACTATACTCCCCCATCCTTAGAGCCAGAAAGGTATCTATGCATTGGAGTCTCTTCCAACCCCACAGGCACTGCTCCTCCCCACCATTTCCTGACATTTTCATGGTCAACTCTCCAAATTTGACCACTTCCAAGCTGGTCAAGAAACGAAGCCACTATTTCTAAAAGCCTTTCTATGGAAATAAAAGTTTCAAGTGCCAAAAGAGTCTACTTACTAACAAACAAAACAGATTATGTTTGTTGAATATAATTTTAAAGATGATTTTCAGCACAGATCTCATCATAGGGAGAAGGACTCCTACTTTATTCATATTGAAGAAGCCACTGTAATAACAACTAACACTGAAATCCTACTGAGTTTGTGGCACCATTCAACACACTTTCAAATTCACTTTATTAAAATGAGATACCTGTACCTTTCTATTCTAAAATAGATTAATAAAATGCTGTTATACACAATGAAAGCTATACTCAATGAATCAAAACATGGCTACCTTAGAGATGAAATAGAGTAATGGTTAAACTGCACGCACAAGAACTTATAAGATGGGAAGGGGAGAATTGTATCTTATAAGAAAAAAAAACAGTGAAAATACTTTGTGATCTAGCACTTTCACTTCTGGGTACATACCCAAAAGAACTGAAAGCAGGCATTCAAACAGATATTTGTACACCAATATTCATAGCAGCATTTTCATAATGGTCAAAAGGTAGAAGTAACCCAAGTGTCCACTGAAAGATGAATACATCAGCAAAATGCAATATAAACCCAGAATGTAAGAAGTACATACAACGGAGTATTATTCAGCCTTAAAAAGGAAAGGAATTCTGACACATGCTGCAACATGGAGTAAATCTGAGGATACTATGTTAAGTGAAATATGCCAGATGCAAATGGACAAATATTAAATAATTTCACTTATATGAGATACCCATAGCAGTCAAATTCATGGAGACAGAAAAGTGGCTGCCCAAGGCTGGGTGGAGGGGAGAATGGGTACAGAGTTTAATGGGTACAGAGTTTCAGTTCTGCAAGACAAAAAGCTTTGGAGGAAGATGGTGATGGTTGGATAACGATGTGAATGTACTTAATGCTACCGAACCGCACAGTTAAAAATGATTAAGATGGTATATTTTATGTTATGCACATTTTACAATTAAAAAATACCTTATATAAAATGTCAGCTTATTTTCTGAAAGGCCAAATAACTGCCATTTGTGTTATTTCTTGGCTATTTCCCTAAATTAAGTCCACGGCTTTATAATTTCCTTTACATTAGTCATTAATATATATTCTCTCTCACACACACACAAACACATTCACACACATTATACACAGAAGTATTTAATGTGACAAATGATTTTAAAAGGTTTAAAGAAAAAAAGATAATTTCTGAATCCCCTTTCTGAACTTGTTTTTCCTTACGCCAAAATAAAAAATTCACAAGATACTTAAAGCCTGCAGTCAAAAAGAAAAAGACAAAACGAAAAATGCAAAAATCACAACATCCATCCATCCACAGAAGATATTTTTACATCAGATCTAACGATGAAAGAGTGCAACAGTACTTCCATAGAAGAATTTGCTGAAATCACAAAGTTATCTCTGGTCTCAGTTTAGGATAAAAAGTCCGAATAGCGAGTGTGGCCAGTGATTTACCCAGATAACCCATGATGCTCTCTATGTAACAAAACACTATGGAGTAGTTTAAGTCTGAGGTGAAGGAGGGAAGGATCAAGGCACTAAAAAAGACTATGGTGGAGATTTTTTCCTAGAAAGGAAAAAAAGGAATTACAAAACAACAAAAATAATAAAAACACATGCCAATATGAGCTCTTTAATCTATACTGACATTAATTCTCAACTGGGGGAATTTGCCCACACCCCACCTCCAGGAGTATAAGTCAGAATCTTCTTGTGGTCTTCTGTACTTGGAAAAAGAATATCCAATATATCTATTAGTTTTATACTATAGAAAAAAAGAAAAAAGACTCAAAATTCTTTAGGGCTGAGGGGGGATGTGCTGAGCAAACAGTAAGAAAGCATTTTACCAAGGGTTAAGAAAAGTTTGAGGGATGTGACCTTAGAATACACAGTTGCCCTCAGAGTTCAAATGAGTTAAAGATGCAAATGGAAAAGAAAGCTAGCATTTTAATCATACCTGAAACAAACCTCTCTGATCTAGGTAAAATCTAAGGTTCAGTATCAATCATGGATTATTTCTAGCAAGAGTTTTAGACCAGAATGATTTAAATGACAGAATGAGAGAGAAGAAAATGGACAAAAAGGAAAACCTTAGATGAAATATTTTAATACTGAACTTATTAATGATCATAAAAAGAATACACATTCATTTTAGAAAATTTGAAAACACAGAAAATGTGCAACCCATTTGACTCACCTCTCGAGTAGCTAGCTGGTTGCTAAGTTCCTCAGCCTTCTCAATATTCCACTCCTCCACAGCCTGGTCTATCCTCTTTTCAAGGCCTGACTAGAAAGAAAAGAAACCTAAAATTAAAGGCAGGAAGAAAAGCAAACATTTGCTAGCCAAGACCATGTCACAGGGTTATATTGAATGTGTTACACATGTAGACCATTTAATTCTCACAGTAACACCAGAAGGTAGCTGCTACCATTCCCATTGGTACTGGCTGAAACAGTAAATGGCTTACCTGAGGTCATATAACTTCTTGAACTAATAAAAATAAGATGCAAATCCAGACTTTTGTGAATCAAAGCCTATGCTTTCCCTTAATAACAACAATAATGTTGATAAAAACAATAGCTAAAAATTATGGAGTGTTTATTACGTGGCAGATTCTGGGCTTAGTACTGTAAGAAGGCTCATTTAATTCTTATAATAACACCATGAATAATAATGCTATCCTGTTTTAAAGGTGAGGAAACAGAGCCTGAGACTCCTGAACTTGGCCAAAGCCACAGTCTGTAAGCAGTAAAGCCATCACATGAATTCAGGTTTGCTCAGAGCCTGCATTCTCAACCACAAGCTTCTTCTGTCTCTTTTCTTTTTTTTTTTTTTTTTTTTTTGTATTTTTTTAGTAGAGACAGGGTTTCACCGTGTTAGCCAGGATGGTCTCGATCTCCTGACCTCGTGATCCGCCCGTCTCGGCCTCCCAAAGTGCTGGGATTACAGGCTTGAGCCACCGCGCCTGGCCCTGTCTCTTTTCTTACTGCCCATTCCTATAGCTCAAGACTTTCAATCAATAGCCTCCACAGTCTTTGACTATGACCGTTAGGCTGAATATTAAACAGCAGAGGAAAATTACACATAAGATTGATTTATTTTCTTATGTATATGTTTCTATTTACTAAAGATACTTCAGGAAATTATAATTAATATTTTCATGGGATTACCAAACAGACTAGGGTAGAATGCATCACACATTTATAAAAAGATGCTTAGACTTAAATAACTGCAGTTCTAGCTTGTGAAAATAGTTACTACAGATAATAAAAAATTTAAAATATGGTCTAATATATGCTTCTTAGAAGCAAATTTTATCCCAACAATGTCTTATCTAGTCTCTTAACTTCCACATTCACTGTTAATACTCTATCTCTTACAGACTTTTCCTTATTTAATAACAGAAGTCCTAAGAATGTCTCTTCCATCAGCATATTGCTTGATTATGCCAGTCAACTGAGAGAATTCTGTTCCTGTGTAGCCTTTGTTGAGATGAGATGTAAAAAATAACAACATAATTTGCCTAAACAGATTACAGAAACAAAGACCAGTAAGGTTGTCACTGATGTCTGTTGCTAAGAGAAGATGATTCCTTCTCACAGACCCCACCTAAGTATTTAATACCTGCAAGGGCAACAGACTTTTCTGCTTGCTTTGCTGTTTAGCTGGAGACCATTCAACAGTGCCTCATAGTCTGACCTGAGGCCATAAGGATCTAATGCTTACCTCCCATTCTTGTCCTATGATCATCTACCAGTCTCCAGAAACATCTCTTTCTTCCATTTCTACAGAACTCCTCTCCTAATGGTCCAAACACCACCCTGGGACCTCTAACTTCATGCACTTCAGAAATCTATACTCTAGGCCAGTGCCGCTTCAGTCATGGCCTGTGGGCCAGGTCTGGTCTGTACACAGTGACTACCCATGAACCGTTTATTTTGGTCCATGTAAAGATGAGGAGCTTGTGCCAGAATACAAATCAGCTTCATGACGAAACACAGTTTTGTAGTGGCCGGGAGTGCTGATACACACCTTTAGTCCCAGAGCTACTAGGGATGCTGACAGAAGAGGATTGTTTGAGCCCAGGAGTTTGAGGCTGCAGTGGGCTATAATCACACCACTGCAGTTTAACCTGGGTGACAGAGCAAGACCCTGTCTCTTAAAAACAACAACAAAACAGTTTGTCTAGATGGCTTTTGCTGGGGGTGGTGGGGGACTAGAATTTCTCCATGAGGAAAGTAGTACACTGAGTTACATTCAGGCACACATTACTTATCTCTTTGTATATCAGTGCACTTGGAGTAAGATTGCTATATGTCATGTTATAGACACTGCCCGAAAGTTCCACCTCCAAAACTTCATAATCTAGAATTCTACTCCCTGAATATAATTATTCCACTCACCCTAAGTCTTTTTACCTAATGCATCTGCTTTGCCTTTACTGGAACCTCATTCCCTGACACAGTCCTTCAGTCCCTTCTTAGATCCTCCTCTTCTTCCTCTCTAACTTGCAACCCACAATTACCATTATCAACAAAACTCTAAGCCAGTGGTTCTCAAAGTTTAAGTGCTGAACTAGCAGTATCAACATTACCTGGAAACTTCTTGGAAATGCAAATGCAAATTCTGTGAAAAACTCTGGACTAGGGGCCCAGCAATCCATATGATTCTGATGCATGCTAAAATATGTCAACTGTGTCTTTTTTTTTGGGTGACAGAGTCTCATTCTGTCAGTAGGCTGGAGCGCAGTGGCGCAATCTCAGCTCACTGCAACCTCCGCCTCCTGGGTTCAAGTGATTCCCCTACCTCAGCCTCCCAAGTAGTTGGGACTACAGGCGTATGCCACCACGCCCAGCTAATTTTTTGTATTTTAGTAGAGACGGGGTTTCACCATGCTAGCCAGGATGGTCTCAATCTCCTGACCTCATGATATGCCTGCCTCAGCCTCTCAAAGCGCTGGGATTACAGGCATGAGCCACCACGGTCGGCCATGTCCTCCTTCTCAAAACTACCCACTATCTCCTCTGGTTGTCCCTTAATCACAGTGTTCCTCAAGTTTCTGACTAGCATATTTTTCGTCTTACTTTTCACCCTCCCCAGTAATCTACTCTGTCCTGGAGCTTCAATTACTTTTTATGAGCTGGTTGCGCTCTCTAAATAATTAAAAACACCTGACTTCCCCCGTACCAATATCTACATCTCCAGCTACTTGCTAATCATCTTCACACTGAAGGCCTGAAAAGGCAAGGTCTTCAATTTCATGATGTCTGTAACAAGCCCAATACTTGCTGTCCCACTTCTCCTCCTCCGTAGTCACCCTTGATAGAATCCTGAGTTATCTTCAATGCTTCCAACCCCTTGCTCCTATCTGAACTCTATTTTGGCAAAGGTCTCTCATTTCTTCATTCTGTGCTTCTTCAGGTGCATGCAATCCCTTATTTGGAATATTATAACAATCTCCAAACTAGTCTTCTCTTTCTGAAACAGATATCATTACCCAGCTTAAAGCATTACTTCATATTCCCTTTGAATAACACCCCACTCCCTTCACAAAGGGGTCCCCAAATGCTTTCTCAGCCCCATCTTCAGCAATGCTATGCTTTTTAATCTCTGGCCACATTTACCATTTTCTTAATGTTCCCTGTGCCTCTGATGTGCTTCTCTTGGAAACATATTAATCATTCCTTTAGGCTCACGTCGAATGTTACCTTCCCTATCTATGTAGCGCTCCTCAGCCCTACATTCCTATGACCCCATCACCCTCCCCAAACCCCACACAAAGCTCTCCACACTGTACTGTTGCTGTACCTTGTGTCCCTTCAGCATTTAACTTGTCTGACACACTACAGCAAGTTGTGTATTCTCCCCTCTTGGGTCCTATACTCAGTGGGAGCAGGCTGTGTGTCACCGGCTTGGTGTGTCCCAGAATCCAGCCCAGTTCCTTCTACATAGAAGACATTAATTCAGTCTGTGCTACTGAGCTGATGTTCACACTGCAGTCATCCATGTTTGCATTCATACTAAAAGGACCCCACTCAAACTGGGAACATTTATTACAACCAACTACTCTGAGAAGCTTCCAAGAGAATTCACAACAGTAATATTGAAGTAATAATGCCCCTATGGTTAAAAAAAGGTACATGTATTGTACTCATTTATATATGCATCTATCCTGGTACTAGAATATATACATTCCTCAAGGGCACGGGGAGTATCTTCTCCATCCTGGGCTCACAGAGCTTAAAATAGTACCTGCACCTAGAACTTTACTATTTAATTTATATTGAAAATAGTTATTTTATTTAAAAAATGTAAATACAACAGTCTCACTTTCCTGTGCAGAATATTAGGCATCGCCTCAAATGTCACTGACACATATTTGTATGTGTCAAAATGTATTTGTACAAAACATTAATATCAAACTACAAGTTTCCTTGCATTACAAATTCTTGCATAGCCTGACCTCAACTCAGAACTTATCCAATCTCATGCAAGGAAGCAATCAACCTAGACCTGCTCCAACCTTTCATCTCAGCAACCTGCTCACTAACAGCTTCCATTCTTAAGCCTTTCCATTCCCCCAGCCATTCAGAGCAGAATCTAAAGGTAATAGCATATTACAATGGAAAGAGCACAGGACTAGAAGACAGGAGATATGGTCAAAGCTCTGGGTAAATGACATACTTGACTCATAAGCCTCTGTTTCCTCAAAGGTAATGAAAAGACTGGCTTGAATGAGTAACCCTTCTATAAATAAAAATTCTAGATTTCTATCACATTTTCAACTTTGTTTTTAGCCCCTTTATCTCTCTTTCTGGCAATTTATTTAAATAAAATGTAATAGCTTCTTTTAGTTCTGAAAAACTCCTGGTTCCATGTACAAACTTTGTTTCCATAAGAACATATTAATATTCCAAATACACTCAAAACACTTAGTAAAACATTCCCATCTCCTTAAAGACTGTAAGTTCGTAGCAGCTCACAAAGAGCACAGCTGGCAGGGTCAGACCTAGGTTCAGACTAGCTCCTATACTTATGAATTAAGCAACCCTGACTGAGTTTCTAAACCTCTGTGGGTTGCAGTTATTTCACATGCAATAAAATGAGAATAAAACCACATTCTCTGCAAGATTATGATGAGTCAAAGAACATATATATAAAATACCTAGCCACATTTTTAGAATATAGCAGTCATTCAATAAATAAGCTGCTCCTGTTATTAAACCTAAATATCAGGATACCATTATCGCAAAAGAGAAGGCTTATCTCTATAAGGCTACAGACTGTATCATACTTCAAGCTCAGACCCAAGTACAAGACTCAAGCATTCAACTTTGTCAGTAAATAGTCTCATGAACTAGAGTCTGAGTATTAAGGCTTTTTGAAAAGTTTTAAGCTAGACTCAAGAGTAGCCTTTATTTGACTTATCTAGGATGTCTTCCATACTACAGGAGTGGCAGGAGGCACAGAGGAGCTATTGATAGCCTGCAGCGCCTTGGTGTGCTTCTAAGTTGCCTTTTGGTTAGAATCAAAACATAATTTACGATATATCTCAACACAAACCTAGGAATGGCAATTTGGCCACAGGTGAAAAATTCATCTAAACGAAGTATCTAACCCACAAGGCAACAATTGCCAATTAATAAAGTTTTACCATAAATGTCAAGAAGATAGGACTACAAATATCTAAGAAATGTGTGGGTACTTGGTTTAACGTTGTGGGCTAACATCTATATGTGCATATGTAGAATAACTTTTTATATATGGTTTAAGCTTTTAAAGTCAAACTATACCACAATATATTTATATGAAAATTCTGCTACTAAATATTTATTCGGTTAATATATTCAATTTTTAAAGCTTAACACAAATGAATTATCCATTGAAGTTTGCATTACTGAACCTAAATATCTAAGAAAAAATAAGGCAATCTCTTCATAAAGAAGGGCAGTGGGGGAGAGGGGAAGAGGTACTTTCATACGTAAATGTAAATCATGTATTTATTTATAATTTTGTTAACTTTACATATATATATATGATCATACCTACTTAAAATCACTTGAGTCAGCTGGGTGCGATGGCTCATGACTATAATCCCAGCACTTTGGGAGGCCAAGGCAGGAGGATCACGAGGTCACGAGTTCAAGACCAGCATGGCCAATATGGCGAATCCCCATCTCTACTAAAAATACAAAAATTAGCTGGGTGTGGTGGCGTACACCTGTAGTCCCAGCTACAGGAGGCTGAGGTAGGAGAATCATTTAAACCCGCGAAGAGGAGGATGCAGTGAGCTGAGATCGCACCACTGCATTCCAGCCCAGGCAACAGAACAAGACTCTGTTTCAAAAAAAAAAAAATCATATGAGTCAGGTAAATAAAAACCCCATTCAGAAAAAGCTAGATTTGGGACCAAATGACTTGGGTTTAAAGTCTCATTTCACTTCTTACCTGGTTTGTTTTCTCAGGCAAATTATGCTGAGCTTCGGTTTCTTTATCCGTATGAGAATAACACTGGACCTATCAACCCACCCCACAGGAATCACATAGGAACCAAGAGGCAATGGTTTGTAACTGATACCAGGAGATCTTCATGGTACCTCCTCAACACTCCCCATACCTCTCTCATCACACCCCTAAACCTCCCTCTCCTATACCTCCTCCCTCCACCCACCCAAGGAAGCCAGATTTTTAACTGATCTATGTATTGGAGAACCATGTTAAGAGTCTGTTTGGAAAAAGCACTCTGCTTAAAAAAAAAAAAAAAAAAGTTCGAAAAAGCTACACTATACAATAGCAGTTTCCTCTCATAAAAAACTTGAAAAATTCATCAAAGACATTGTACAATTACTCTAACATTTAATAAAGTACCTCTGGTTTTTCATGCCAAAAAGTATCCATTAGGTATACATAAAACTACTTCAATAATGACTGCTGACTAATCAAACTGATTCAACTAAAGAATACTTGAGACATTTATAGTGAAATTAATGAGTGAAATTTATTCTAAAGAAATTCCCACAGATTCAAAATAATTATGCTATGATTACAGAATTACTAGTAAGTCCCAGAACTGCTGCCAGAAACACAATTATAGCTGTATTTAATACAAAGAACACTTTAAAACAGCTTTGGATATTAGGGAGATTATGTTTAAAAAATACAAGCCTCTGCATTGTCTGAGAGGCAGGTGACAGCAGTGCTGTAAACAGACATTCTTGGTTGAGCAACAGTTTCAGCTTGGCAGTGTTCCAAAAAAGAAAAACGGGGAGAAAAAAAAGACTGCACGATAGACACAGATTAAGAAGTTTGTTTTGTTTTACCATTCTAGAGGGTTGAGTAAATACAAAATAAAAAGGTTCTCTCAGATATGGTAACAGATCAGCCCTCTGCTCCAGAGAAATAAAATAGTGGATGGAAATTCATGCTAGTTTTGTTCTAACTGCATCACAGATTTTCACGATCATCTCTAGATTTCATGAGCAGTCGCTACTATGTGCTGGATTTACATTTATTTAATTTTTATCTCAGCATCTCCAATGTGGACATTCTTTAAAGTTTATTTACTCTGTTGGATTTGCAGTAGAAACTTTAGCAGGACAGCCAAAGGAGTGCCATTTAAACCAACGATCCCAAACCAAAGAATGAGTGGGAACCTGCTGGCATGCAATTATACTGAACCACCAAGAGAATATGGAAGAATCTGGCTTCACTAAGTTCTTCCTTTCCTCTTATGCTTGGGTTTATTTGTGGAATATTAAATGCGGGGAAAATCCTAGACAGATAGAAGCCTGGTTAGCTCAGGCTCCTTGTTTAGAAAACCAACATAACTTCCTTAGCTAGATGTAATTTATGTGGACGAGTATCTACTGTTAAGATGAATATCATCACAAGGATGAATATCTAAAGTTAAGAAAACCCAAACGTATAAAACAGATCAATGGGCAATTGCAAAGGGACTTATAGCAGTCTCCCTTACACAGAGACCTCATTTTCAAAATAGTGTTTGGGTTATAATTTCCTTCTAGAACACATTTAATGCATAATGTGAAATAGAACATTGGTTCCTAAAATTGAGTTGTTTAATTTTGTGCAAAGAATCCTAGTAACCTGTATTAAAGCAACTCCATACAAATTCCAAATCCTAGACAATGAGTAAGAGTAAGCCTGGCATCTAGCCAGTATCAAGACGGTACAATTTATATGTAGGATAATAAAATTTTAATAAAGATAGACTGTAAAAAAAAAATCATGTCTAAGTTTCTACTTTTTAGAGTAGCTAGGAAGTTCATTTCATGGCTTTAACTTCACTAAGAAGCAATTTAGACATTCTAATGTCAATATAGTTATGAGAAAACTTAACAAACATGGTAAACAAGTGAAACTCAAAGAGTAAACTCACAAGTAAAATTTAAAAAAATATTTCCTAATAGAACCAGTATTTGACCATTCCTTCCCTCAAAACAACAATTCATCCAGCAGCTGGAACTCGATGGCAGGTCTGCCAGAGATAACACCCAGACCCGGGCTGCCAGCATGGTCCTCCTCCCTAATGCCTTAGAACACATTTGGTACAGTCAAGAGCATCTCCCGTCACACAGCCACTGTTCGGCCCACCAGCATCACAACAGAATGGCAATTACACTTGCAAACAGTTATCACCCCTTCTGCATTGAGCCTAGGAAACTGAGACTGCTGTCATGAAACCTGGTTTTTAGTTTCAACTGTACCAGTGATTTTTCTTTGCAAGAAATTTAGCATTTCTGCACCTGCTTGAACATTTGTAAAAATGAGATTGCTCAGGAGCAATAATTAGTTGAGGCAGAAAGAGATTCTGGTTCCAATTCCCCAATGTTCCAGGGACTGTTTTTGGATGATAAGAAACTTTTGCAAAGTTGGAATCAAAAAATTCACAGCAAAATTCTGTTTTGACAGTTCCTTATTGTGTGCACCCTCAATGACACAGTACCATGCAATGATGGATTTAAAATCAGAGGTACTTTGGAAGAAATACAGATGGATCAGAAAGTGACAAAGGTCTCTAGGTACACACATTAGTCTACAGCAATGATCCATGAAAGAGGCATCTGTCTATTACACACAGGATACAATATACTTGGGCATCAACTAGCCCCCTGTGCCTCCAGCTCTAGCACTCAGCACTTGATTTTCATGCTCCAACATTTCCCTGTGTGAATAAGTGAGTTACTCATTCACACAAGCCTCTACTAAGTATTAGTATGTCTAGAGACTGACAACTACAAATGTGCATCTAAAGGTCAGGCTCTCCTCTGAGCCCCTACCTCACTATACTAACCATCTACTCTGCTCCTGCTTTCCAATAACACTCAAGTCCCAAGCTGAACTTTGGCTAAGTCCCACTCTCAATCCTTTCCCCTCCCCAAATTTCTCTTTGTAACATCACTATTCACACCACTGCTTAAGCTAAAGCTTTGAATGGTCCTCTTTCCTCCCACATGCCTCAAACCCTCCCTATCACCTCGCAAGCAATCCAGAGGCAAGTATCATCAATTTTACTTATACAATATGCCTCAAATCCATCCACTTTTTTCCTTCTTCAGCAGAACCATTCTGGCCCAATCCATCATCATTTTATGCCTAGAAGTCTCTTAACTGTTCTGTTCTCATCTGTTTTTGCTGCCTCACAATCAGTTCACCAGGTAACAGTCATACAAATCTTCTTAACATAGGTCATGTCATTCCCTTGACTTAAAAGCCTTTATGACTGTCAATTGCATTGTGAATAAAACCCATTTTTTTACTAAGCCCTTTGAGGTCCTACACAATTTGGTCAGTGACTGCCTGCCTCTATAATCATATAGTGGGCTACCCTCCTCCTCACTGATTCCATTCCAGACAGGCTGGCCTTCCTATGATTACTGGAATGTCCCAGGACGACTCTTCTCTAGGATCTTTACCCATGCCTCTGTGCTAGCATTCTTTATATAAACAGTTTTTTCCATCCTTCAGGTCTCAGTGACATGGCACCTTCTATGAAAGGCTTTCCCTGATCATCCATGCTAAAGTACAGCCCCCATTTTAATGTTTTCACAACAGCCCGTTCTTTCTCTTAGCAGTTTTTTAATAATTTGTAACTATTTACTTATCTAGCACCTTTTCTGGTGCATAGTAGGCATCTTAACTTTTTAACTGAATGAATTAATGAGAACAAGTACTTTAGGCAAGGCTAATCACAAACGTATCCTCCTAGCTGGTATAAGATGCAATAACAAAGATATTACCTTCTCAACTTTTTTCCTTTTAACAGGTGGGTCAAATCTATCATTGACTCCAAAATACTGAGTAAGCTCCTTCCATTGGGTTTCATTTGAGGATGTTTCACTAAAAGAAGATAGTAAGTTTTGTTTTATACAATATATACTGTCTTTACTTTTACTGTTTTTAATTGGTTACTACAATTATACTACAATTACTAGTTCATATATGTTTGATTACGATCAGAAACAATTAGTTCAACAATTTCTACAATGGCCTAAAATATATAACTATTTTAAATTCCACCTACCTATGAGATTCTTTTTCATTCTTCAATTTATCTGAAAAGAATTCACAAAGTGTCAATACCTAACTTCACTAATTTCAAAACCATATTTTAAAAAAAATGGTTAAATTCAGTCACAATTTAGCATTAGCACGACTAACAACCTGAATTAAAACAAAACACCTTTTCTGGAGCGTTTTCTTTTTTTCCCTCTGAATCTTGAGGTTGTGCTTTTCTGTTCAGTATGTTTTTTATGCAGTTCTTGAAATTTCTATGTAAAAGAAAAAAATATTGAGAAGCAAATACACTTTCCAGAAAAACATGCATTTAAAAAATAATGAAGTAATAAAACAATTATATTTCAGCATGTATAAAGATACCAATTTAATGATGGTAGTCAGTTCTTGAGATGCTCTATTCTCTGAGACTCACAACCTGAGTTTTGATATTCACTTGTTTTGAAATAGGTCATTTCATAATTTGAGAGTGAAGCTCATGTAGATAACAAAAAAGATAAATAAAAGATAAAATAAAGACAGAAACTCCTCATGTACCACGCTAGGCAAACAGCTAATCCTGCATAGTGGTTTGGGGTTTTTTTTTTTTTTTTTCTTTGTCTTTCTATGAAAAACAAAACAAAATAAAAGCAAGTATCTAAGTGGCCAATGCCTCAGAGAATAGTAAAAGCATTCTGAGTCCATCTCCCTCCCTGTTAAGTCCCAAGAACACATGCACATTCTGACCAGGGCAGAGACACAATGAGGGGTGTGTACACGCACAGGCTGTAGCAAGAGCATTTCAGAGAAAACCTACATTCCACATATCTACAGGAATTCCAGAAGGACACTCTTCATAGGCATTTATGTTTGACTCTGTTTCCGTTTGTGGTTCATCTGTTGAGAAATCTATGATTTCTGTTTTTCTGATGCTCTCATCCTCTTTATCTTCCTGTAAGTTAAGTCCAGAGTTCTCCAATGTAGCTTCATCTTCAGAGTTTGACTCAGCATCACTTTCATTTAGGCCAGGAGGTAGCAGCCCACTCCACATCTTTTCTTCTATGAGGAAAAAGATTAATTTACACATGTAGAATAACCATAGAAATAATTTTAAGACCATTAGAAGACATTCCAGGTGCCTAATAATTGTAACAATGGTTTGGGAACAGTCCACCTAAACTTTTTTTTTTCCCCATCTAAAATGGTATAGAATGAACTCATATTAAAATAATTAAAATCTTCACTTGTATAAGTAAAAAAAAAAAAAGTTTAGAAGTTTAAAAGCTGTTTAAACAAGTTTGTTACAACACACACCTACAGGCAAAGAAAATAGAGCCTTAATTCTCTAATATATGAGTAGCTTTGTCTAAAAAAACATGAAATTCAGTAATGCACTGCTCAAGAATGTTAAAAACCTAACAACATACTTTGCAAGCAATTTAGGATTAAAATACCATATTTGAAGCTATACCAATTAGAGAATAAAACTGCATGTTTCACCTATATTTAATGGACCAAGCTTCCAGAGGGCGTATTGTCTAAGGAACAGGAAAGCAACTAAAGGAAAATTTTTAAGCTATGTAAGTAGCTGAAGGAAGGTATGGTAGTAAAATGGATATCCTACTTTTTAGTTTAATATTGTTTGCTAAAATAATATTAAATGAAATATAATCCTAACAATTTAACAAAAATGTACAGCTTTTTAAAGTAACAATACTATATTTGGGAAACTAATGGTAAAGTTCAAGATGATACTTAGCATTAGCTATACAGTCCATTGGTAGAGAGAACCATTAAGTTTAATAAAACATCTTAAAATAGCAAAATTGTTATCATTTGCTAAAAGTATAATACTCAAGTACATATTCACTATTGATCTCCATGGCACAGTCTATTTTAGCACATATATTGAGTCAAAACCAGTTCCTTCAAAAGATGCTTAAAATAAAGAAGCCGGTTGTACTGCTCATGATTTACTATCAACCTGAAGGAATAAAATGGAAGGACGGAAATCTGTTTTGCAGTTTTCTGTCCCATATTGTGATTAACCTAGTTAAAAAACAAACAAACAAAAAAAACCACCACCATTCTCTCTGAGACAAACACATCAGGGATTTTGCGATAACAGATTTATGTTATCTTTTCAAGACTTCCTTCCAGGTCCGAAGAATCAGATCTTACTTTTTGTGGCTTTGGCCCAGTCTCATCAGTTGCTGGCTCTCTGAAATATCCTCACCAAATATTCTGTTGGCTTTTTATGAGGAAGGACTCTGGCATCTAACTGCTCCAACTAGAATCTTGACTCTGCCACTACTAGTAGTATGAGGAAATCATTTAACATCTCTGACCCTCGATTTCTTTATCTGTAATGCAGGGATAATTATACTGCTTATAGGGTTATTCTGAGGATTAAATGAGATAAGCCCCTCAACATAGTGTTTAGGAGGTCCTAGGGGCTCAATAAATGTTAAGTTCTCTTTGCTATTATTATTTCTATGGCCATGTATTACATTTTTATCATTTCTATTATGAGTGACTGGGTTCGTAAGATAGTTTTGAAGTTTCTGATAATTGTGGTGCACTCACTTAGCAATTGATGCCATCATTTCCTTCCTTGATAGTCACAATCTGAGGTGAAGTGTCTATAACAAATATTAATGTTTAGTTTTCTGAATGGAGCAATAAAATGAGGGCAAATTACCAGGAAGATAATGGTAACCTAAGCTCCAAGATTCCTCATTTGCACAGGTCCTTCCAAAGTACTGTACTTTCAGAATTTGCATTTCTTTTTTTAAAGGAAGAGACCCGAAGTTATATGAGCTCCAGGCCCCATAAAACCCAGATCTATCCCTAAACCTGTCTGTGGATTTTTAAAGTTGAGACAGAAGTACTCTTGAGATACTCTGAGAGCACAAAAGACATCATGTAAAATATGACAATATTGAAAAATAGGTATCATGCTATTAACGAAAAAGATTTCTCCTGTTCTGAGAGCAAGGGGAAGGAAGCAGTAATAAGTTCCAGTATGATTTGGCCACCGGCATATAATATACCTTTAGGCTCATTATCATTTAAGGACTTAAAACAGTAACAAATTCCAGGTTTGGATTTCTTAGCATCACTGGAGTCTATGTTAGAAGTAAGTGTTTCCCTTCCTGTCCATAAAATATTTTACATGCCCATCTGTGTACCAGATACTCTTCAAGACTCTGGGGACAGAAGTATATAAAACAGGCAAAAATCCCTAGCCTCATGAAATGACATCTACACACATGGCAAGTTTCTGTTCAATTTTTGAGCCAAGTATTCCTTGACCTGGACTTCAGATGTGACTGCTTATGAAATGCGTGTGCCTCTCCAGTGGGCAATGACACAGGTCTCCCACCAAACCACTGTTTTAGCATCTCTGCAGGGTGATAGTCTATGCTCTGGGCACCCAAACATACCTCCCTCTGGGGAACAGTCTCAGTTGCCCTGAAGAAGGCAAGATTTTTGCTGTTGTTGTTGCTAATCAGCTTTCAAGTAGGCATTTTTTATGGCTTTTTAAATTTTCTCAAAATTATATATTTTTAGCTCCCACTGATGTGGCATCTGCCTGGTATGGTAATTTCTTGAGTGTACCCAAAGGAAAAAAAAATTAAAATAGCTTGAAAAAAGTGGAATCCACCTCTAAATCCAGGCAAAATCCAAATCAGGTAGGTTGTGAACTCCACTCCTGAAAACCTTTAAAATCATGTGCCATTTTCCCGTGACTCTCAAAAAACCAAACACAAGGGAGACTGAGCAGTCACTGATAAACGTGGATAACTGCTGCCACTCACTGTGCAGCCTGCAAAATGGAGTTGCCTGTGTAAGCAGCAGCCCAATTACAGATCAGCCAATATGGAGTGGCTGCTTAGTGACTTTTGCTTTGGACTCATGTTTGAAAATAGTCTTTCTATTCATAGCATATAGTTGTCATTCACAAAGTTTCCAACTGGCACCATGTTAGGCCTCCTGTTATTCCTCTTTTGGCTGCTGTGGAGGATGATTATCTGTGTCTCTTACTCATGTTTTTCAGAGTGTATTTCTTTATTTTAAAGCAGATAATCCCAAGTTACCCTTTAACTGTGAAAATTCACTCAGCCAGTCTCAAGAGACGTGGAATATCAGAGAAATAGAAACTTAAATCTTTTTACTATAGATTATAGCCAAGTCCATGTAGCAGCCAACGTATTAATTCATAAGCTTTCGTTTTTTTTACCCTGCAACCCAAATAATTTTCAATTTAATCATTTTCGCCCCAAGGAAAATGTAAATGACTCAGAATCCTTTTTCTCTCTATGGTTTTGAATATCACCTTCTTCATTTTACACACCCTCCACCTCTAGAGTTAAGATTTATTCCATCCCACAATTATCCTCAAAGACCTTCTGTGTGTACTATGCAGAACACATCTTTAGTCCTGGGCTAACACAATTTGCCACGAACTGAAAATATTTATATACTGTCCTAGTCTGAATAACTAGGGTTTTTTTGTCTGTCTGTTTGCCCTTGAAAACCACCCATCATCATTAGTTATCATATTTGGTCAGATAACAATGACTCAAAAACAGGGTACAGTTCAGTAGTTCCTAATCTAAGTATGAATATAGTAACAGGAGTCTCTAAGCTAATTTCAAAAAGCCCAAACTATTTTATTTTTCCCCTCAGTGAGACAGTAGCATTCACCATTACAGGAAAAGACAAATTTAGCGAAGCACTATTCTTCACCACATGATAATCAGAGGTTCAATGGTAGTTATAGGCCTGACTTTTATTAGAAAAAAACATTCATAAACAAGGTCTAGTAGACACAATCTTTCAAAATATAGCAGCCAGGGAGAAATCAAATTACAATAAAAACTGTTCTAGACTGTGCACTGATTCCAGGGGAATAGAGTTTTTAAAGTTGGAAGATGGTTTCTAGTCCTGAACAACATAATTAAAAGTCACTGCATTTGTCTGGGCCTCCATTCTTAAGCTATAAAATAAAGGTTTGATCAAATGATCTTTGAGATGTCTTACAGCTCTAAAGTGTCTCTTTAAGATTTTGATATTGTAAGTGCCCCAAATGCCCAGAGTCATCTCACTCCTGGATGTATCACTCCATTCTCTCCAGGACTGCAATCCTGATTAGAGCCCAGTATCCCAGTAGATAAGGTTTCTCTCCTCTACCTAGCAACTCAGCGAAGAGAATGTTTTCGGAGAGATGCTGTACACTTCAGGACACTGAGAAGGGGAAGGAACCCTAGTTGCAACAGGAAACACAAGAACCAGAAAGGGGAAACAAAGCAAGTCACTGCTACACATGGCATACAAACAGTGTGGCAGGCCTTGGTTTACCATTAATCTTCACAACAAACCGTCCACTAGGAATTACTATCTATATCTGCCCCTCCCCTGCCCGCTCCGCCCTCAATTTACAGATAGGATAACTGACTTGCCTAATGCATTCTGATCCACTTGTTTTACAAAAATAGCCCCATGGCTTTAGATTATGAACTTTTACAGGGCAGAGTTGTAAGCGGGGACAAGGATTTGAGACTGGGTCTGAGAACGATCTTAGCCTATAATTACAGACTTGTTAAATTTGGTTAAGAATTCTTTTTCTGTACTTTTTGAGTACAGAAAGCTATGTAAGATGCTATACTAAGTCACATACATCAAAGTCAAAGTCACAGTCAGAGGTTTGAGTAATAATGTCATATTTTCTGGACAACCAGGCAGCTGCTTATAACCAAAACTCAAAAGATATTATTTGAGCACCTCGATGGGTAAATGTTTTCTGTCTCTATTCCAGGATTTAAATTCCATTTTCATCGTATAAGGCTTATTTCCCATATTTTGTATTTGATTAGAAGTAATCCCAGAAGCCTGAACTTCATCTGATCTAAAATTAATTTCACTTATATACTAATTATAAGCCACCACATTTAACAATCTGAAGATTGTAATTTACATCATAATCAGTGTCGGTGACTTAAAAATGGTTACTATTTTCAAGCATGTTAACATCAACATTAACGTAAATATCCTATTTACTTTTATGAAATGAATGTGCTCCTTTTCTCAAAAAAGGTACAGAAAGGACAACTGAATTACAGGCCTGAGAGCGAATTTAGGTTGACAATCGGCCAATCCAGAAAACCTACTTATTTAGCAAGATTTTGCATGTATGCAACTGTTTTAATTAAAGACAGTGTTCGTTTACTTGGCCTGAAAAACATTTTCCCAGACCCAAGATCCTGCATGGAAAGACAATAAACCAAGTTAACAGTTCAAGGCTCATTTTAAGTCGATTCCGCTATGAGAATACTTACAAGGTCCAAGATGGCAAGAGGATGGGTCTAGTAAGGTACACCTGTTCCTGCTTGGCTGCACAACCGGGAATTCTGCAGGCTTTCTGGCGGCAGTGCCCCACTCCAATCCCAAAACAGGCAGAATCCCCTCTCGGGCACAGAACTAAGCGCTGCAGTTTCCGGCGAAGGATGTCTAGCCTGCTGGCAGTCCCATTAACTGGAGCTGTTTTCCGGGATACAGCAACTGTAAACACGAGCCTGTTTCCCCTATCGAAAGCCTCCTCAATCCCCTCTCACTTTGACTGGAGTGGGACGGAGAAACCCTCCCTCAAAACAGGCTGGGGAGGCCGCTGCGACGCCCCTTCCGAGGAAGGCTGAGGGTGGCCCCGCCGTCGCTTCCGCGGCCCCGGGCCGGGGGCTTTTCTAGCCTGCTCCGGGAGGCTCGGCCGAGGAGCTATGAGGCCGCCCATACCGCCTCCCTCGGCTGCCGGCAAGAGGCCTTCCCAACTCATCATGCCGGAGCCCGAGCCGGCGGGTAACCAACCCTCCATAAGCCGTACTCACCTGTCAGAAAAGGGTCGCCCGGCAGCCATCTTAAGACCCCGTCAACATCGCGCCTTCTCATTGGCTCCTGCGTCTCAGCCAATGGGCTGGGGCCGTTCTGGCCCTAGGGTCGCCTTGGCAACCGGCCTCGTGGGGCGTGCCTTTTTAGTCCGTGCGAAGGAGGTGGTTCCTTGCTTTTTTTTCTCTCTTTTCTCTTGCCGTTTTTTCTTTCTTCTGAACATTTTTAAAGACTTTGTCCTTTCTTCATTCTCTGCTGTCGGCCAATGCGTCTGGGCGAGGAAAGGGCTGACATAGATAGACCTTGAACTAAGAGTTGATGCCACCAGGAGGGAGAATGTTGCAGTGCTTTCTTTCTAGGCCCTTCTGCAAACGTCTTCATTCATTTCATCCATTCCCCTCCCTCTCTTCCTTTTTTCATTTTTGTTTTGTTTTTTTTTTCTTTCTTCGCCTATTTATTAGGCGTCTACTTTGTACCAGGCATCATGCCAATCTCTGGTTAGCAGAAAACGGGCAGACTCCTGCTCTCATGGCGCTTACCATCTGGTGATGGCGCTGACTGGACCAAAAGTTTACCGAACTTCTTTTTTCTTTTTTGTGGCAGGCGCTGTGTTATGCCCTGAAGGGAGTACTTGGAGAACATAGAAAATGAAGAAACAAGAAACAAAAAACAAAAACAAAAACGAGAAAACCACTGTGAAGAAGATAAAGTATCCTATGTGATAGGGATGGGAATAGTGCTATTTTAGAAATATTTGCATTTTCCGAAATCTGTTTTATAATAAGAATAACATTAAGTGTACCTATTTGCTAATTTTGTGGTGATTATATAAGAAAAGCCTGGGCGACAGAACCAGACCCTGTTTCAGAAAAAAAAGAAAGAAAGAAAGAAAATACAGTAGGCTTCTCTCATCTGTGGCTTCTCTTAGCCTGATTCCAGTTACCTGGAGTCAACCAAGGTCCAAACACATTAAGTAAAAAATTCCAGAAATAAGCAATTCAAATGTTTAATTGCAATCCCATTCTGGGTATCCTGATGAAATATCCTGCAGTGTGAATCATTGCTTTGTCTAGTATATATGCATGCTGTTATGCCACCAGGTTCTTAGTCACTTAGTAGCCATCTTGGTTATCAGATTGAAAAACTGTATATGGGGTTCGCCATTATTCCAGGATTCAGGCATCTACTGGGGGGTCTTGGAAGGTATTCTCTGTGGATAAGGGAGATTACTGTACACATAAAGACTTTAACATGTTACCTGGCCCACACTAATTTTCAATCTCAGCTGTTTTTTGCTATTAACATAATAATGTCTTCCTTCAAAGAGAGCTAAATGTGTATAAAATTTTGCATTGCACTCAGTAATATATCTCAATTTCGCGTCAACGGATGGTTAAGCCTATTACTTAACTATCCACTCCACCGCCTCACTGCCAACATCTTCTAGAAGATGCACCAAGTTTAAAGAGCAGTTTTATATAACCCCAGCATCATAGTAAAACCTGAATCAACAAGTTAGGATCACTGAAGTCCATCTTCCTGTTCACATTCTCTGATTCTAAAGTAGAAGCAAGGCTGAATGAGTTAAGGATCTGTATAAAACTCTTTTGGCCGAATCTCTTCAGCTTCTCAATAGGATTTTCCTTGAATCCAAATCTTTAAAAAGTTAAACAGTTAACAAAAAGGTGTGCCTAAGAGTGCTGTTGTAACTGCATCAGGCCTCTTAATTGCTCTTCATCTGCTCGGGCTGTCATAGTAAAATACTACAGACAAGGTAGCTGAGGCAACAGGAATTTATTTCTCACAATTCTAGATGCTGGGAAGTCCAAGATCAAGATGCCATCAAGTAGGTTTTGTTGTGTTTGTTTTGTTTTGTTTTGTTTGAGGCCTCTTCTCTTGCCTGGTAGGCAGCCACCCTCACCCTGTTACGCTCCCATCACCTTTTCTTTGTGTGCACTGTTCAGAGAGCTCTCGAGTGTCTCTTCTCTGTACTTAAAAGGACACTAATCCTGTTGGATCAGGGTTCTACCCTTCTGACCTTATTTAACCTTAATTACTGCCTTAGAGGCCACATCTCCAAACACAGCCACACTGTGGGTTATGGCTTTAAGATAGGAATTGTAGGGGTGCACAAACATTCAGCTCACAACAGTTGCTGATGGTGGAAATATAACCAGAATGGGAAAAGAGATAGTAGAGGGGGAAGAACTGAGGCATGGGGTAGGAAGGAATTAATGTTTGTATATTTAAGAATGATCTGGGGCCGGGCACGGTGGCTCACACCTGTAATCCCAGCACTTTGGGAGGCCGAGGCAGGTGGATCACTTGAGGTCAGGAGTTCATGACCGGCCCAGCCAACATGCTAAAACCCCATCTCTACTAAAAATACAAAAATGAGCTGGACATGGTGGCACGTGCCTGTAGTCCCAGCTACTCGGGAGGCTGAGGCATGAGAATCACTTGAACCCGGGAGGCAGAGGTTGCAGTGAGCTGAGATTGCGCCACTGCACTCCAGCCTGGGTGACAGGAGCGAAACTTCATCTCAAAAAAATACCAAAAACAAAAAGTAAAACTCAATTGTTTCTATATAGATCCCATCAAAGAATGCTCATTATTTAGTGCATATATTAGTAAATGCAAGGGAGAGAGGTGGCATATAATTATAACTACTACAAAGATTTACAAACACCAGGTTTCATTGCAAAAGTTTTTGGAAAACCCTATTTCAAAAATATCTAACATTTTAAAATTAAGTTTCTCAATGCTGATCTGAGAATTCTTAACTACCTAATTGTTTATCATATTACTGGATGCCTATAATAAATGTAAATAATAGCTCAGACTTTTCTTCTCGCTCTGGTTGTAAGAACTTCAGTTTCTGAATATTATTGTTTTGTCAGTTTTCTAAGGAAAATGTCAGTCCTTTGATTTATATTGATCAATAAATTTACCTTTCTTCCAGCAAATTCTTGCCCTGGAAGCCTGCCAAGCCATGAGTTTTGTGAATGAAATACTTGTGTTTGTGAGATTTCTATGAAATGTAGAATAGTTGGATATCTTTTACTAAATCACAGTGAAATATCTGATGCAGTTAGCGAATTGTGCTTGAATTGTGTTGCATCTGGCACTAATTTCAGGCATGTAGCTCTCATTTAAATTCTCAACCATATCTTTAAAAACACAAAGCAGTTTTTCTTTGCCAAGAAATATTATAGTTTATGAACAGCTTTTCCTTACATTTAACAATTTTTTAGTGTAGAGATTGTAAGTCACACCCATATTATAAAAGATTAATTGTGGAGTTCTTTTTGGTGGCTGCTAAATCCCTGATTGATGAATAATTTCTCAAAATATAATGAAACCCCTTAAATATTTTTAAGTTGGAAAAGTGAATACAACTTTGTTGAACATATAATAAATGTGCTTCTTGCTGAAACTGAGAAAGAGAATATTAATTTCCTTCTATACAAACACCTCTTTTTTGGCATTGAGAGGAAAAAGTGATTTAGTGACTTAAGCAAAAGAATTGAAACCAGGGAGTTCTGAATTTCAGGATTCATGTTGATATCCTTCATGATTAAGGAATGACAATTTCTCTATCTAGATTTTTTGTTTGTTTGTTTTTTTACAGAGTCTGGCTCTGTCACCCGGGCTGGAGTGCAGTGGCTGACCTTGGCTCACTGCAAGCTCCACCTCCCGGGTTCACGCCGTTCTCCTGCTTCAGACTCCCAAGTAGTTGGGACTACAGGCACCCACCACCATGCCAGACTAAATTTTTTGGGGTTTTTTTTGGTAGACACAGGGGGTTTCACAGTGTTAGCCAGGATGTTCTCGATCTCCTAACCTTGCGATCCGCTCACCTCGGCTTCCCAAAGTGCTGGGATTACAGGTGTGAGCCACTGTGCCTGGCCCTCTATCTGGATTTTTTTTTTTTTAGGTTTGCAAACTGAAGCATCTATAAACCATGTTAGTCTTCCAAGAATATGTCGAATAACTAACACTACGATATCAACAGGACTTGACGTTTGAGAAAACAAAATTTCTGTAATACAGAACATTGCCAAAGAAAAACACTTTTTATTTATTGGTCATGTCTAGTAATTCTAATTTTTCAGTTCCAACAGGTTGTACATAGGCAGAAAGCAGAACAGGAGAGGGAGGCTTATTGAGCATTTTTGTAGGCTAGGAAATTTGGATCTAATATCTTATGTAATCTTATAAGGTAGCTATTAGTGTATCCATTTTATAGCTAAGAAAATTTGAAACTTCAAGAGCTTAAGAAACTTGTCTAATGTCATGTGCTTAGTAACATGTAGAACCAGAGTGGGGAAGTTTCACTGGACTCAAAAGATCCTGCTGTCTCCACTGTCCACATACTGCCTCTTTTAAGAAGAGGTTCCTGATAAATGCCAGCACAATGCAACCAATAAAGTGTGGATATCATTACTGCCCAGTGGCACGTTATGCCCACCGGGAACTCAAAAAGAGAGGCTTCGGGAGCAGAATGTCTTCTCTCTCTCCTTCCCCCTCAGGATCTAGTGAGTGATCAGATCCCATTCGAGGCATCCTCTTCAATTATTCCTGATTCGTTATATTGAAGTCTATGTTAATTTCCTTTTCCTTAATACTTTCACCTTCCAAAAACATCCCACTGTCTGATTAATGTCTCTAAATGAAGGAATACATGTAAAACTTTAACATAGAGCCTGGCATGTCGTCAGTGGCTAATATTAGCTTCCTTCCTTCCTTCACGTGTCAAAACTAAGAAACCCATAAATGTTGATAGAGTATTAAATTATCTGTCAATATCTTCATGGTCCTTACTATGTGCCCAACGCTCAGCACTATGCTAAGGGTTGAAGATGCAAAAAAAGAACTGTGTAGAAACTGGCCTCAAGAAGTTTGTAGTCTGAGACATAATAACATTTAAACCATGAGTACTATAATTGTGCGGTTCATGATGTAAATATGAACTATGGAAGTCCTAAGAATGGAAAAGTAAGCTAAGTGGAATTTGCTACATACTATTTCCTTTGCCTGAAATACATTTCTCTTTTATATCTGCTAAATATCTTTTCATCCTTT